GTTCTTACATAAAAAAAAAAAAAAAGTTTCAGGGCTTACATATTACCTTTGCTAATTTTGAAAGAGAAGGAAAACCTGCAGAATCAAAAGCTCAAATAGCTCACTTTAAAAGCACTTGAGAACAAGAGAAAGTTTTATGTGATTACATTAATAGCAGTGACAAATGCATGTAAAACACTTAACCGTGGTCTGTGATGCAAAGAAAACCCATTTAGGTGTCATTCATCTTTTTCACATTAGTACAATGAGTACTCTCTGCTTTCTCTTCTCAGGCAACACTTGAATTAGAATGCTGCATTTTCCAGAAGCAAGACTTCTAACTTTTCTTTCTAGCACACCCTTCTGTAGAAATGGTTTAACCTCTGAAGCCCAAAAATATGAAAACGAGATCTTTTTTTCCATCTAATTCCATCTTCCTAAAATTTTTTTGGAAACACTTTGTCTTTGAAGGGACCTAATTTTTCTTTACCGATTGGCTATCTCTCATATTTTTCTTTTAAAGAAAATAAAGTATGCAAAAGACCAGGCATGGTGACTTACACTTGTAATCCCAGCATTTTGGGAGGCCGATGCGGGAGGATCGTTTGAGTCCAGGAGTTTGAGACCTGCCTGGGCAACATAGTGAGACCCCCTCTCTACAAAAAAGTTGGGAGATGTGTGATGTGTGATGGCACGTGCCTGTAGTCCCAGCTACTTGGGAGGCTAAGGTGGGAGGATCTTTTGAGCCCAGGAGCTCAAGGCTGCAGAGATCCGTGATTGCACCACCACATTCCAGCCTGGGCAATAGAGTGAGACCCTCTCTAAAAAAAAAAAAAAAAAAAAAAGCAAAAAAGCACAATAAACTATACCCACTGGTAAGGTAAGGTATTTCCTAACTCAGAATCATGAAGAATAGAAAAGAAGCAGGGAGATGACAAAGAAGAAAACAGTGACGACGTGTGGAGAAAAGGTGGAAGGGTGCGGGGAAGAGATGGCGAGGAGACAAGTGAGGAAGAAACGGAGGTATTAGAAATGGCTGCTCTGAACGTGCATCAACCCAGCTTCCCACAGCCATGGAGGCTGCACAGCATGAAAACTTCCAGAAACTTTCGCAATTCTTCCCCTCCACTCCTCCTAACTGCCAAATTCTCCCCACTCCCCAGTCAAGTTTTACAGGTGAGAGAAACTGTATGATGTGTGAAAAAAAAGATTTTATGAAGACTCAGATGACCCACCTCTAACTAACCGTGAGCTTGCCAGGTCATTCGGCTCCTCCAATCTTCTATTTCCACACTAGAAATAGCAGGGAGTTGGGCCTGAAGATCCCACAATCCCTTTCATCCCTGACTTATTTGAAAACTCAGACTCGGAGAAGTTACTTGTGCAAAGGCACATAGCTAGCTAGGGGCAGGGCCAGGCTGGATCTAGGGGCTCCTGGGGAATCATAAGGTTTTTATAGCTTCCTTTAGGTGGAGTGGATTGTGCAGAAATTTATTCCGTGGACTAACACAGGCACCCACCTTATTGAACCACCCTGTGTTCCCCCAAACCTCCTTACAATTTTGGTTTTTGTTTTTACATTTTTCCTGGAAGGTCAAGTCAGCCTGTACAAGAAACCCAGCAGTAGTGGCTGTCTCATTTTCACTGTGAAAGTGGAAGCTTGGAGAAGAGCAGCCTGTTTACTAATGAGAGCAGTGAGGTCGTACCTCACTAGAGAGGAAAGAGGACATCAGGCAGGTAAGAGCTTCAGAGGGTCTGGGTGGAGAATCAGTGCCAGTCTCCTCACACCAACCTCATCCCTTCCCCCACAGTTGCACACTGGAACTGGGTGGACAGGAGGTCCAGTGTTGGCTGTCCCTCCTCTCTGCCCTTCAAATAAACATTTAAAGACTCCCAGAGGGATTTCTTGCAAACTTGAGTTTCTGATGTGGAAGGAAATGTTTCCAGATATTTTTAAAAAATCACAACAAGCTCCAACATCACACAAAGGAAAAGAAAATAGTTAGATTTACAGCTTTGAAGGAATATTAAATAAGAGACAGAATTTTGGTTATGCCAGATATGAATGCCAGTACTATAGGAAAGAACCTCATAAAACATATCAAGCCCAGGCAAAAATAAAACAAGCAAAAATAGACTATCATTTGAACTATAGCAGGCCCATAAATTCAGCTCCAAAATTACAGCCAACACACATACCATATTGTACAACTGAGCCCGCAAAAGAGGAAATTAACAATAAACCAAAAAGTTTTTAAAAATAACATGTTGAAGTAAAGAAAAAATGCAAAGCTACAAAAGTCATAATAAGTAACTTTCTTGGAAAAAACACCAATGAAGTATCTGATTTTCCTTTTTAAAGATTCTGGATTGCAGAGAGCATCTGAGATCGTGAATGAGTCAATATGGGTGGGTAGGTTCAGCGTGTTTGACAAATAAGTTTTGCTCCTCACCAGGACATTTGGATGATACATAAATAGAAACCTTCTTTTCATCTTGAGAAGCATAAGGAAGTGCTTTCTCAGAGTGAATATTTTCCTCAAATCTCTTGGAAAATAGAAAGAACATTTATTTCCATGTTTCTTGTATCTAGCAAACTCTATTGACCTTAGGTTGAACTTGAAAACATTGTTCTAGTACAGTCTCTCTGTCAATTCCCAACTTGTCTTTCTTTACCATCTCTCCATGGTCTTAGAAACACCATCTCCTGCAGTACCTCTCTATTTATTTATTTGAGGCAGAGTTTCACTCTTGTTGCCCAGGCTGGAGTGCAATGGTGCGATCTCGGCTCACTGCAACCTCCGCCTCCTGGGTTCAAGTGATTCTCTTGCCTCAGCCTCCCAAGTAACTGAGATTACAGGCATGTGCCACCACCCCTGGCTAATTTTATATTTTTAGTAGAGATGGAGTTTCACCATGTTGGGCAGGCTGGTCTCGAACTCCTGACCTCAGGTGATCCACTCGCCTTGGCCTCCCAAAATGCTGGAATTAGAGGTGTGAGCCACTACGCCCGACCCTCCCACTTTAAAGAATGCTTTTTTGTTTGCTGGAAGGTTGGGTAGAATCCCCTCCAGTGCTAATGCCAGTGTGTGAAGTTGAGCACAGGTCACCAGCGTCTGCCCCAGCCTCCCAGCAAACCTCCCTGACTACAGGGGGCTTTTGTGCAGGGCGATAAGCTACGGTGCTGCATGCTGGGACAACAAATTGAAGGTCACCATTGACACACCCTTGTTAAATCAAGGTGTTCTTTTTACTTGCTTGCACCTGTAGCTCACACCTTCCAGGACCTGGGGAGAACAGAGAATCTTTCATGCAACTTGCGCGAGAACCAGGCCCCACTCCAGCGTTCACTGTGCCAGGCTGCTGTGTTTCTGGAATGCTGAGCTACGTTCACATCCATTTCCACCCTCTCTAGAAAGCAGCAGCAGGGCAGCTCCCAGGCTGGGCTGCTCCCAGGCTTGGCCTCCTGTTGCCAAGGCCTGAAGTTTGTGGTGTAAGAGGTGGGTTATGTTTTCAGAAGGTGATACTCTGCTCCCCTGTTGCCGCCTGCTTCTTACCGGTAGTGTTCGAAATTTAAAATTCAAATTTGTCATTCACATCTGGTGTTATTAGACCTGTTTATTTCAATAGGGAGTAGGAGAGATGACTATACATAGGCCCTACATAGTGAAAGGAATCGTACGAAGGAAACAGATCAGGTGCTTGTGTTTTTTGGTTTATTCGTTTCTTGGCTGCAATTCTCTTTGAGTCTCTCTTACTTAGTCTCTGACCCACAGTTGGAGCTAGAATACAGATCACTATCCTTAGAAGGAAACTGAATAATTAAAGGTCATCTAATACATCGTCATTCTTTTATATAACCTCCAAGGGAAAGCCACTTAGGGTTAACAATACCATATGGTTCGGTTTTGTAAAAGTAGAATTATCATCGTAATCCTAGAATGTCATGCTTTCTACTCAGCATAGACCCGATGCTCATTCTTAAATAATTGCCGTTAAGTTAATTTGCTAGGGTATGTACTAGGGTGGACATTCTAAGGCATTCTGTTCCTTCAAAGAGCTGATGTTTGAAAATCCCAACTGTTTGTACTTATCTTAATTGCCAAATATATGATATATGTTTAATTGCTATATATATATATATATATTTCCCCTTATAACACATTCTGCCTTCAAAAAACTCAGACTTCTCTCTGTTTTCTTTTAGATCAAATCTCAAATATAAGAGGCAATAGCGTTTCACTGTTATTCACTTATCAAATGTAATTCCACGAATATGGTATGGAACATAGGAATTCACGGGATTCTGTGTGGCAGTCCTTTCTTGACTGCCTTTGGAAATACTGGGAAAAGGCAGAGATACGCAAATGCATATTTATCCTATTGGGGAATGTCTGATTGAATTGAGTCGTAGCATTTCTCCATTTTTGGGCAGGGAGCATGGGCTGAACAAGGGGGAAGCTGGGAATTTAAGCTAGCCTAACTCTGGCTTGGGCTATCTAAAGGAAAAATGCTTGATTTTAGATTATCTGATGCTTTGTGTCTAAAGAGTTTCCCAACATTTTTCACATGAGGTTTACTCAGAAAATAAAAATATTTATACCACAAACTGGGGTCAACTTAATCGTATTTGGAAGATAGTTGAGGATCTTCTGTGCTGCAAGTGACTTGCTCAAGAGCTTGGCCCATCTCTGGCCTCATCTGGCTGCCCAAGGATGGGAAACATCCTTATCTTGGAGTGCACCAGTTGGAATCCAAACCCCAGTTTAGCTGCCCTGGAAAGTGGGATTGCAAAGCAGACAGGATTTGTCTTTTCTCCCCCATCTTGATCAATTTCATTCAATACATGAGTATTTAATAAAACTCTAAAACATGATGTCACTGGGCTCTTAATTGTCCTGCATGAAATGATCAGAGCTGTTCAAGACATGAAAAACAAATCTGCCAGTTGCATATCTGAGACTGTTATTATTATTTTAAAAAATGTATCATAGAAAAAATGAATTATTCTTTATCTTTACCTTCAATTACTTTATCTGTATTCTGGCTATCTGCATATCTTGTCCAGTCTTGCCACCATCAAGAAATTACTCCTTTCTTGGCCCCAGTTGAAACTTTTATTCTCTATCAATTAAAAATAGTTCAGGTTAAGAGGTATTTAACTCCATCTATTTAAAAGAGTTTGTCATCATAAGTCAATCTTTAATTATTGGAACACACAGTAACATAGCAGGCATTTTTTATTTCCTCACAAAATCGCTGGGACTTTCTCTCCTTAATTATGTCATTTTTCAAGGAGCAGATATAGGGAAGCCATTTTTCTTGCCGAAGAATCCCATGAGCTACCCTCCTCTTCCTTCTTGGAATCTTTCCCTTTCTTCCCAAGTTCAGAGAGAAAAGAGCCATCAATTTGGAAGAGTGCGTACTAGCAAAGGTAGCTGAATTTTAGAAACTTAAATCTGACTTTCATGAGAAGTGCTTCTTTTATCTTGTTCTCAATTGTCTTGAGAGATTTACTTTTGGTTTGTAAACATCAAGCTCAGGCATGGTGGCTCACACCTGTAATCCCAGAATTTTGGGAAGCTGAGGCAGGAGGAAGACCTGAAGCCAGGAGTTCAAGACCAGCCTGGGAAACATAGTGAGATCCCGTCTCTACAATAATTAAAAAAATTTAAAAAATAAGAAATAAAAACGTTAAATTGCCTGAAACTTCAGCTCCATGTTTCAGAAGAGAAACAATGATCATAATATCATGAAGACAAAACCAGTTTACCTCTTGTTTCAGCTTGATTGATTTCAGCTTGATGCTTGATTGCCCACTGATATCATAGTAGCCTAGAAGCAGTGTGGTGAGGGGAGCCGCACCACCCAACAGAAAAACCAGACTTAGAATCTGGAAGACAAGTTTGAATCCCGATTTGGCCACTTCCTAGATGGGTGATTTTGTTTTGATTACTGAAGCTCTGACTTGTCTCTGCTTCTTCATTTGTAAAATGGGCACTTTTTTGGTGTGTTTATAGTAACTTCATTCTTAAAACCAGAAACAACCCAAATGTCCTTCCACTGACAGAAAGAGAAGCTTGAGTACATCCATATAAAGGACTACTACTCAGCAACAAACATGAAAGAGCTACTGATAGAATAACACAGATGGATCTCAGTTTCATTATACGAAAGAAGCCAGACTCCAAACCTACATATTCTGCTGATTCCACTCAAATGATATCCTGGGATAAGCAACGGCACAGGAATCGAGAACATACCAGTGAGTCCCATGGATTGGAAGCATGGGGAGGGTTTGATACCAAAGGGACAATATGATGGAATGTTTTTGGGTAATAGAATATTTATACATTCTATTTATACATTCTGATTGTGATGGTTATACAACTGTGTGCAATTATAAAAGACCATAAAACTACATGACAAAAAAAGTGAAGTTTACTGTATGAACATTAAAAAATATATTTGAATATGATAAATCAATTGGATTTTAAAATCATCTGTGTGTTGCTTCTTTTAAGGAAACTCTGTGTCAATTAGAATCTACAGTCATTCCTTGGTATCCATGGGGGTTGGTTTCAGGACCCTCCATGGATGCTAAAATCCATAAATGCTCAAGTTTCTTATATAGTATTTGGTATGTATGATAGTATATATACTAAAATACTATACTATTTAGTGTACTATGTGTATTTCATGTATATATATGTATATATAATGTTATAGTATTTGCATATAACCTAAACATATCACCCTATGTACTTTAAATCATCTCTAGATTACTTGTGATACCTAATATAATGCCTACACATCATTTCATTCATGTAACTTCACACAGTACTTGGCATGCGACAAATTCAAGTTTTGCTTCTTGGAACTTTGTGGGACTTTTAAAAAATCTCACTGCTTGATATTTATTCAAAGGAATGGAAAATGGTATATTGAAGATATAGTTGCACTCCCATGTTTATTGCAGTACTAGTCACAATAGAATAGTTTATATGGAATCAATTTAGGTGTCCTACAGCAGGTGAATGGATAAATAAAATGTGTCACATATATACAATGGAATACTATTCAGCCATAAAAAAGAAAAAAAGTAATTTGAGGCAACGTAGGTGAGCCTGGAGGACACATGTTAAGTGAAATAAGTGAGGCACAGAAAGATAAGTACCACATGTTCTCACTCATATGTGGGAGCTAAAAAATTTGAGCTCATAGAAGGAGGAAGTAAAATTACGGTTATTTGAAGCTGGGAAGAATAGGGGCATGGAGAGAATGGGGAAAAGTTGGTTAGCTGATACAACATTACAGCTAGATAGGAGGAATAAGCCTTAGTGTTCTGTAGCAGTATAGGGTGACTATAGTTAATAATATATTGAATATTTTCAAATAGCTAGAAGAGACAATTTCAAAGGTTTTTAACACAAAGAAATGATAAACTTATGAGGCAATAGATATGCTAATTACTCTGATTTGATCATCACATGTTGTATACATGTGTTGAAATATTATTCTGTATCTCTAAATTAAATGAGCTATTAACCCTAGCTCAAAGAGGTTGATGTGCAAATGAAATGAGACATAAAAGTGTCTGAGCACACAGAATTCCATCTATAAGTGGTAGTCTGAAATTAAATGGATGATGCTATACTGTAGTTTATCTAGGTATTTCTTAAGCCACCACTCTGCTACAGGGTTTTGGATTTTAATTAAGTGAATCAAGGGTAACTATCACTTTCCACCTCAGCCTTAGGGGTAGAAAAAGGATAAAGTAGGACTCACTTCTACATTTAGTCTTGCCCTAAATTTGTAATATCAAGCCAAGCTTCATTGGGAAGCCAGGAACTCAACCCCTTCAGGGCTAATTCCACCACCCTGGAGACCTGCTGTCTCAGAAGCAAAGCCCGGGTCAAGACTGATCTTGAGGATGTCTTCCTCTGTATCAGGACCCAATCTCCATACCTGCTGCACATTAGAATTTCATATGGAACTTGAAAAATACTGAGAGCAAGGCTATAGCCCCAGAGATTTTGATTTAATGGTCTAGGTTAGGACCTGGGCAATAGTAATTTTTTAAACTGTCTCCAGTGATTTCAGTGTGCAGCCAGAGCTGAAAACCACTGCTCTAGATATTGCAGATCTAAGTGACCTGGAGACATTAGAGCTCAAGGTTGTAGTTGGAGGCATCTGATGGCCTGATACTGAAGAACCCTCCCTTTCTCAGATGCTTCAAGCATTGAGTCAAGAGCAAGAGAAAAGGGATTGCAGTGATAATCTCACTTCCAAAAAGAAGAAAATTAGCAAAGTAAGCTTCACCCCGGGCAAATCCTGGGCGATGCTAAAGAGCCCTTTTCTTGCCTGCCTGTGGGTTCCAATTTTCCAAGTAGCACTTGAATAACAGAACACTGCAGATTTTTTACAATGTAGTTCCAGAAGCCTCATTTAAGCTGATATCATTATGGACTTTTAAATCTCCTGCCTGCATTTAGTTCCTTGGTTTCTAAATTAAGAAGTACTTAGAATGTAATGACTTACTTAGATTGCTTGTTCTCTAATGGTGGTTACAGAGCTGTGCTCTTAAACCACTGCACGCAGAGGATATTTTGATCAAGTCACAGCCAATTGTCTTAAAAAGCCAAAGTCAGAAAGAGCAATGTGAAAGCATTCAAATGATGGGAATAGAACAAAGATTTCTTCATTTCCAGTCTTCTTTATCAGTTGAATCACATAATAACAGTCAGACAGGGCTACTCCTCTCTTTTGAAAGAGTGACATGTATATGTCTTTTCCCCTTTCTCTTACAGATGAGGATCTCTGACCAGTTGTAATGACCATATTTCTTTTCTGCCTCACCCAATGAAACCCTTTTTGCCTAATAAAATCCAATTTATTTATTTATTTTTTTGAGACGGAGTCTCACTCTGTCACCAGGCTGGAGTGCAGTGGTGCAATTTCTGCTCACTGCAAACTCTGACTCCCTGGTTAAAGCAATTCTCCTGCCTCAGCCTCCTCAGTAGCTGGGATTACAGGCACGCGCCACCATGCCCAGCTAGTTTTTGTATTTTTAGTAGAGACGGGGTTTCACCATGTTGGCCAGGATGGTCTCGATATCCTGACCTCGTGACCTCCTCCCACCTTGGCCTTCCAAAGTGCTGGGATTACAGGTGTGAGCCACTGCACCCAGCCAAATCCAATTTCTACTTTCATTCTTGTCTGTTCGCACCTCCAAATAAACTGAAGATCTTTTTGCTAGAATGGTCCCCACATTCCTTTCTAGTGAGCAAAGCCTCAAACTGAGTAAATGGTAATCTTAAGCATCTTAACAGAGCAGAAGCAATATCTCCCCTGTCATTGCTAAATAATTAGGAGCTACATTAGGAATTATATAAAAACTACAATTTCATGGAAAAATAAATATTTCTGACTTAGGCATCTGCACAAGTAGGGGATTCATTTAACCACCTGATCCCAAATCAAAGTTAAAGGACTTCTCTGTTCTTATACTACTTCCCCACTGAAAGATGTTAATATTTATCATCAGGGAGAAAATTGATAACTCATTGATATGGTTTGGCTCTCTGTTCCCACCCAAATCTCATCTCAAATTGTAATCCCCACATGTCAAGGGAGGGAGGTGATCGAATCATGGGCGCAGTTTCCCCCATGCTCTTCTTATGACAGTGAGTGGGTTCTCACAAGGTCTCATGGTTTTATGTGTTTGACAGTTCCTCCTTCACACACTCTCTCTCCTGCCACCTTGCGAAGAAGGTGCCTGCTTCACCTTCCACCATGATTGTAAGTTTCCTGAGGCCTCCCTAGCCATGCAGAACTGTGAGTCAATTAAACCTCTTTCCTTTATAAATTACCCAGTCGTGAGTATTTCTTTATGGCAGTGTGAAAACAGACTAATACACCCACTGGGGTCTGATATAAGCAGAATGAATTTTATTACCTTCAATTAATTTGGGCAGGAAAGCATAAGTGATAGTCCTGAAAATAACCTCCTACTAAATCAGAATCTGTTTCTAATCCTACTGACAGGAGAGCTAAAGAAAAAAAATAAATTTTTAGTATCTAACTTGCAGATGAAGGCTGTCATAGGAGCCACGGGTGTTAGTCCCATAGAGGAGACTGCTTCAGAAAGTGAGCTCCCAAGATTAATGACTGGTTCACTTTGTATAGTGGATTCCTTTATTCCACAATTATTTGTTGAGTGCTAGGCACTTCTTAGACACAGAACAATGAGTTTATTGGAAGTGTAATATCTCGTTAGGCAAGTGTGGTGACGCTGGTAAGCAAATCAGCCAGATCTGTTTGGGCTTAGTGTATCCTGAATTTAAAATGACCTCTGCATCCTTGGTTCCATGGCACTCTTAAAATGTATTTGAAAGTTTCTTGGAAAAAATATCCATTTATTACAATTCTTTTAATTTTCTATCTGTAGTTACTGGTTACTTCAGTGATATTGTTTCTTCTTTTGATATTAACTCTCAATTATATTTGCTACAGGCTTGTCAATATGTGGTAGTGTCTATCAATATAAAAACTAGCTGTTTATACAGATTATTGTTATATATCGTAAAGCATCTATTATTCAGTGAAAAAGTAAGGTGTATAACAATATGCATATTGTATTATTTTTTGGGTGATCGGTATATTTATGGGAATGTGGGTGAATTGAGGGACTAAAGAAAGAAGTTCACTTTTATTCCCACTTTCTTTGCCATTAACATTCTTTGTCATGATTCACTTTAGTAATAATTTTAAAGTTCCTGTTTTTTCATTAATTAGAGTGACTCAAGACCAATGTTCAGACAGGACTCAGTACACTGAGGGCCTGTTTTTACTTTTATTTGCTTATTTATTTATTTATTTATTTATTTTTGAGACAGAGTCTCACTCTGTCGCCCAGGTTGGAGTGCAGTGGTGCGATCTTGGCTCACTACAACCTCCGCCTCCTGAATTCGAGCGATTCTCCTGCCTCGGCCTCCTGAGTAGCCGAGATTACAGGCATGCGTCACCACCCCAGGCTAATTTTTATATCTTTTAGTAGAGACAGGGTTTCACTATATTGGCTAGGCTGGTCTCGAACTCCTGACCTCACGATCCGCCTGCCTCGGCCTCCCACAGTGCTGGGATTACAGGGGTGAGCCAGCGCGCCTGACCTTATTTTATTTATTCATTTATTTATTTATTTATTTATTTTTTATTATTATTATTATTTTTTTTTTCTGAGACGGACTCTTGCTCTGTCACCCAGGCTGGAGTGCAGTGGTATGAGCTCAGCTC